AACTTTAGAGGGCTATAACTTGGAGGATAAAAGTCATTCTCAGAAAGGGCGGAAAAAAGGTTTATAAGAAAAAAAATCGTGTAATTACTTTTCTAGGTTATATATTTATAGAAGAAAACATATTAGTATAACAAAAGTTTTGTACTTTGAGAATATAATTAAATAATGAGAATAATGTTAAGGTTAGAGGTAACGGAGTTGAAAAGTAGTAACGGAGATGACATATAATAATTTAATTCCAAATTTTGTTCCTAACATCTTAACTTATTGCATAAAATAATAAATAATAAACTCAATATTCATATAATCCTCCAATGATGATGAATCTGTATACAGTGTGTCCCCGAATTGTGTCCCGTAAGGTATAATTGACGATACATTTTTGAATTCAAATTCCATTTTTTGCAATTGAAGTTTTACGTCAAATGTTCTCAAAGTATCAAAGTTAACGCAAGAAGTTTGTTAACCGTTGCAGGTAAAGTGGTCTTTCTGAGCAATGTACAACAAAAGTTGATTAAGATAAAATGTTTGTTATGTTAAATTATATACCGAATGTTATTAATTTAACATATAAAAGAAAAAATAAACCTCATTTTTTNTGTAAAAAATAGAATACAAAAAAATAATTACAAAATAGAAAAGTCGAAATTAAATTAAATACTTTGCACAATGCGGGTGCTTTTTCATTTTTATTTACACATTTGCAAACAAAAAATATTTTGTAATCGGATGCTTTTCGGTTCTATTGATTATTTTATTTTTATTATGTTATTATTTTTACGGGGGGCGCAGGGGTTGTAGTTTACAATAAAATTACTCTTGCCTATGTTTAAGGATTTTGGTCCGGAGAATGAGGAAACCACATAATTAAACCAAGATGCCAATCCATCTTTCGCAATATTTTGTATTCAAGTAATCCCTTGCAGGACGAGCATAATGAGCTAGACAACTATTTTATTGAAACCACATTTCTCCGTAGGTATTGAGTGGCACATTTTCTAACAAAATTGGTTAACGTCCGTTTTACTATAGCCGGTAGAGGGCGCTCTGTGACGTATTCTTTACGGATTAAAATAACAATAACTTTTCTGACAGTATACTTTTTGAATAAAAATTCTTATTCTCGGTACTTTTTGAGCAAAAAGGGTACTCTTATCAAAATGCGCTAAAGTTTATCGTTTTCAAGATAATCCGCTTTTTATTATTCGATACAGACCAATGTTATTAGAGGATTGTTAAAGATAGTTAAAATAATGTGTGCCATGGAAACAAAGTAGGTAAATTAACTAATGTTTTAGTTTATTAATGTTTTTTAATCTAAATAATAAAAGAAAAAAATTGTTGAAAATGTAAAAAATTTTGCTCGCATAATTTTAACCGACGAATTACTGATCGAGTAATGGTATTTAAGAACGGCCTTCTGTCCATTACAAACATTCCTAATCATATTAAAATTCTTTGTTATTAAAAGTTCATCCCTTGTGGGAACTGGTGTCTCATACAATTTTCCTTTCAAATATCTCACAACAAAAAAGTCTAAATCATTAAGATCTGCAGATCGTGAAGCCATGCGACTGGTCCACCACGACCAATCCATCTTGCAGGAAAATGGTTGTCCAGCCAATTTCTTACTACCCTACCATGATAAGCTGCACACTCATCAAGTTGAAACCAGGCCTTTCTTCTTAAAGCTAAATCGATGTCATCCCACATATTGGCATGTTCAGCTACCAAAAATTACAAGAACGCCGCAGCGGTTAGTTGTGGTGGCAAAAAGTATGTCCCGAAAATATGATTTTTTTAAACACTTACCCAGACGTTGACACTAAGTTCATATTGGAAGTTTCGTGGCCTAATTGCGTAGGGATTTTCATGCGCCCAAACATGTAAATTATGAAAGTTTACAATCCCACGTCTTGTGAAATACGATTCATCGTTCCACATTAAATTATTTAAAGAATCCACCGACAAAACTTTACACGCCGTTCTTCATCGCCTGGTTGTAATCCTTGCAAGGGTTGTAAATGATAAGCATATCTATGATCATTTTTTAAAAGGCGATACACACTCTTCTAACACTCGTAGTGGGGTCTCTGTAGAATTCACGTAAAATTCTTCTTCTAAAGTTTCTTTCCAGTCCAACATTGTCATTATTACGATCTACCCGTTATTGTTTAGCCTTTGTTCAACTATTTGTCTATACACTTTCACAAACACAGAAAGATGCGGATGTCTTCTATTTGGTAGTCTTCTCCTATACTGTAGGGCTACTTCTGCTGAATTTCCGTTTGCAAAGCCATATACAAAATGAATATCCGCTAACTCTTGGTTAGGAAAAATGAATGGTATTTTATAAAGTTTTTATGCAGCAAACAAAAAATTAAAAAAAACAATTTAACACGATTAGGAAAAAGAGTAATGAATTCAGCACGTTAATAAACAAAAAAATTGAATTTAACACGTTAACGAATAAGAAAAATTAATTTAACACTGATCAACAACTACTGGTGATTTGACACTTGATATAATAAACTAAAACATTAGCGAATTTACGTACTTTGTTTCAATGACAAATATTATTATACCTATCTTTAAGAATCCTCTAAAAAAATTGGTCAATATCGAATAATGAAAAGCGAATTATCTTGAAAACGATCAACTTTAGCGTATTTTGATAAGAGTACCGTTTTTGCTTAAAAAAGTACCGTGAATAAGAATTTTTATTCAAAAAGCCAAAAGTATACTATCAAAAAAGTTATTGTTATTTTAATCAGTAAAGAATAAGTACGTTACAGAGCGCCCTCTACCGGGTATAGTAAAACGGCCATCATAATTGTCTTTTTCATGCCAAAAAACCTCCGTATACCAAATTTGAATAGAATCGGTTGAAATACACGTGTAATATTAAATAAAAATCAATTAAAAATAATAATATCTTCAAAACAAAGCGTTTGTCGACCTATGTTTATATGAAGTTTTTGTACTAATTTTAAAAGATCTATCGATTGTTAAAGTCTCGCTACAAAAACCTGAAACATCCTGTATATCAGGAAAGTGTGCACTAAACTTGCAAATGTCAAAATTTTAAAGAATTTTATGCACTAAAAATAATTTTATTTCTATTGTATATTTTGAACAGAAATGTTTAATACAAAAGAATTGATGCAAATATGGTTTAAATAGCAAGAATTATGAAATATTTTGATATGTATAGCCTAACAACCTTATACGAGCCCTAACAACTATATATTGGGACATAATAAAATTTATATGTAATTAATAACAATTAAACAGATTATTTTGTTTTAATACATTTTTCAAATTAATATCATTTAATTAGACAATTAACAACCATTTTATCTAATGAACAACACAAAAACAAAATACATATCCTATTACTTCTAATTAAACTAGAAAAATGTAAATTTTGCCTGACAACTAAATATTGGGACACTGCACGATTTGAATTTCTAATATGGAGTAACATCACCCTTAGATTTTATAACCATTTTAATTCGGTTGGGCATTGAATTCACTAAGGTTCTACACTGTTCAGGAGTAAATCCATCCTAAATTTGTTTTATTTTGGCTTTAAGTTCTAGCAATGTCCGTTGTGGGTTGTTCCTCAAAGTTTGTTTCATTTTGTGCCACACTGTTTCAATTACATTCAGATCTGGACTGTTGATAGGCCAATACAGAACATTAATATTTTGATCGCCAACCACTTTTTTGTAGTTTTGGCGTTTGACAAGCCGCTCTATCCTGCTGAAATATGTAATTTTCGCCAACATTTAACTGCACGATACTTGGTAGTATGCTGTTTTGTAGTATTTCAGTTCACGGTGCCATCAATAAATTCAAAGCATCCTTATCCTGAAACTGTCATACAGCCCCAAATGATTACTCCCTTCGGAAATTTTACACAACGTTTTAAACAATCTTTATAAAATGCCTCATGTTTATTGCGAATTACGCGTTTACGGTACATTCATCAAATTTCCATTCATCGCTGAATATTATCCTGGAAAAGTCTTCTGCTGACCAAGACAGTTTAGATTTTGCTTATAAAACAACAATTTTCTAAAAGTTACATTTTTTAATTATTGCTTGTATGTATAGCTCGTAAAACTTTAATCCGCTTTTAAGAATCCATTTGCGACAGCATTCCGAAAATATTTCTTCGTCCTTTTTTGCAGATTTTTACAAGTATTCTGAACTTTTTTTCTAAAATTTGCCCAGTTTCTCCATAATATTTAATTACTTTCCACGCTGTGCTTTTAGGAATATTAAGTTGGTCTGCTTTTTCACGTATTGTCTTATTGTGGCAATAATTTTTAATCACTAATTCACGGATTTGTGACCCTGTAGAGATACCATGCACCATTTTAATTGATAAATACTGATTTACTCAACAGCAACAATGTTACAAGCTTTGGAACAAACCGGCAATTTAACATTTCATTTTACGTTATTTCCTCAGTTTACTTATCTTAATTTGTTCCATTTTTATGGAAATTACTTTGCACTGTCCCAATATTAAGTTGTCAGGTAAAATGTACATTCTAGTTTAATTAGAAGCAATATGGTATGTATTTTGTTTTTTGTGTTGTTCATTAGACAAAATTGTTGTTAATTATGTAATCAAATGATATTAATCTGAAAAAATTATTAAAACAACTGTTTAATTATTGTTAATTATATACACATTTTATTTTGTCCCAATGTATAGTAGTTAGGGCTCGTAGTGTTATTGTACAAACAGCTAGCACCTTCAAATTTGGAAATATATGGCTGTAAAATAATTTTAAAAACGCTGGTGCGATTTCACACTAGTGGGACTAAATGGGTTGAACTGTAAATTAAAAATTTTTCATATAACAAACGCACCCTTCCCCGTATTAGTCCGTTATATAGAGGTTTTACTGTAATTCAAAATTATCTTGTTAAGTAAATTAATAATTACTAAGAATTAAAAGGTTTCAATAAAATAAAAGCATAAATGACATCCATATAATATATTAAAAACATACAACAAATGTTTAAAGTTTCATACAATAATTTAAAAACTATATTTCTATCTACAAATTGTCATATAAAAAACATGTATATGCATTATACATTAATATAATATTATTAAATCGTATATATTTAATATATACCTAGAATTGGCTATCTTACAACAGATCCAAAAATTTACAAAAATACATGTTTTTTATAAACTCATACTGTGTTGTATTTTTAAACAGTGATAATAAATGAGAAAAAAAATGTAGCAATAAACTGAACGTGTAGTATAGTAACAAGCTTTCAATGTAAAAAATAGAATAAAAAAAAATAATTACAAAATAGAAAAGTCGAAATTAAATTAAATACTTTGCACAATGCGGGTGCTTTTTCATTTTTATTTACACATTTGCAAACAAAAAATATTTTGTAATCGGATGCTTTTCGGTTCTATTGATTATTTCTATTGTTATTATTTTTACGGGGGGCGCAGGGGGTTGCAGTTTACAATAAAATTACTCTTGCCTATGTTTGTTTTTTCTTTTTGGAATTGGAATACACAACATGTACACGGAAACTAAGCAGGAAAATAATTAAAAACAAAAAAAAAATTAATAATAATGAGAAAAATTATTTAATCCTTAAATAGTTTCTTCTATAATCGCGGGTGAGTGTCCATTCGTTTGAGAACAATCAACGACAATCGGAGACGTCGTCGGTCTGCTACTTGAACTGCTTGTCGAACTACAAGAATCACTGGAATCGGTTTCGGAATCTTCCGAATCCGACGTACAACTAGACGATCTAATTTTATTCTTCAACGTTTCATTCTCTCGCTTTAACGTTTCATTTTCAATCTTTAAACGTTCGATTTCTTTTTGAAGATCAACATTTTGTTGGCCGTTATTAATCTTTTCATCGGACCGATTACGAAGACGTTTTGTAAGGGATTCAACTCGACTTTCCAATTGTAAATATTCTTGAATTAACTCATTTTTTGACATTGATTGTAACCTCTCCGCTTGTAAACTTTCGTATTGATCATCAAAGTCTTTGATTAAGAATTCTTCTTCATCATCGGGGGTCGAATAAAATTCACCTTCTGAATCAATGCTAAAACTGGAATCTCTCGTTCTGGTGACAGTTGATGTTGAAATTTGATCGGTGTTTCTTAATTCTTCATCAATTTCATCGATATTACCGTGATCTTCGATTAAAAATCGATTGCTGTTGTATGGTGCTTCCGGTTTGTGTACTTTATTGGTTTTTAATTCGTTTTTGTAGGGATGTACGTTACGTCTTTTGCATTTCCCGCGTCTTGTTTTTCGTTTTTTTGGTGGTATTTCGGCATTGTAATCGTTTGACTTCGATTGGTCTTCGTGTTTTAGTGTTGCGCGCGCATCCGCTGTCGGCAGGACAACGTCATCTTTGGGTAGCGTACTAACGGAACCTGATGCTGCGCCTTCGATTTCCATTCTTTTTTTTAATAGGTTTTCTTATGATGTTTTCCTTTGATTTTACTTTAATCCCGATCTACCGGTCACTCTAATGATCACTACACACCTTCGTCGTTAAATACTTGTCGGAGATGCTTAGCACCAAATGAACACGACCGAAGCAGAATCGCCATTTTTAGTTGCTAGATTTGTTACACTCCCTCTTGATGGCGCTCTCTGTACACAACTCCGAAACTCGTACTGATCGTACTGATAGGGAAGGGATGATTTACATTTTTCATTCTTTTTTATTTATTCATCGACATTTATTATCATATTAACACTCATTTTAATTTTAATTCCTTCACGACTTATTACCCATCTACTTAATCATTAATTAGAAAAAGAACTCAAAATTTTTTTACCCCAAATAACCATTGAAAACGTTCTTAATCAACATTAATAAACCGTATTTACAAAATACTTAAAATAATACATGTTTGATAATCTAATGTTTACATTATAAGAACAAGTTGTTTTATTTTGCCACAGAGTGTAAACACGAAACACGTTTATGTTTAGTAAGTTAAATTTATCGTTTCATTTCCGCGTTAGCGACATCTGTTAGTAAATAGCCAAGGTTTATCAATGTTGAATGTATATTTTATAGCAAAAGTGTTATCGGGTTTTGTTGATAATCACGGTTAAAAATAAATTATTCACCATAATCTTTTATTTATCACAATCTTTTTAATTATGTTGTATACTTTTAAAAAATAAACTTTCAAACCGAACTTCCACAAAAAAAGTAATTAAAAGCTACATTTATATACAGGCTGGGCAAATTTGGGTGTTATTATAGGCTATCTCAGAAACTATAAGAGATACGAAAAAAGTAGGTGCCATGTCCCGGTCTCTTTTTTCGAGACTAACCCAATCCCGCAAACACCAAACCTCTATCTTCTTTTGTTTTTAAGTTATAGCCAAAAAGTCAAATTTTCGTGATTTCAAAAAATGCTCATATTTCGTTTATTTTTGAAATTAGAGAAATGAGGTTGATACGTTCTTAAGACACTTTTTTAAGTAGAATATACTGCCGTTGAAAAATTTTAAAAATATTTGATGATTTTTGAGATACAACACAAAGTTGTATTTTTTTAAATACAAACTATACTTGATTATGATGTTAATGAAAAGAGCATATTTTTAGCTTTCCAATGATGTATCGCATGTATGGTGCATTTGCGGAAAATAAGCGTTAATTTTAAATTCCAAAATAGTAAGCGCTGATGTTCAAAATTTTGATTATAGTAGGCGGGTTCGGACAGTAATTACTACCTAATTGCTGTATGGTTTTGCACGAATATGACAGAAACTTGGTCTTGTACCATTAAGCTAAGTGTCCACTTGCGAGAAATGCTCTCGAGAGAAGCTATCGAGAGTATATTTTCTGGTACACGCATCTGAGAGTAACTATCAGAGAGTCCCCACAAACTTTCGGAGTGTAAACACGTTGAGATTTGTACTCAAATGGACACGCACAATTTATCTATCGTGAGAGTAACTGTCAAAAACCGAACACGGTTCGAATTTTGCTGCGAGTAGCTGCTAGTTTTTTTCAATATAACACGTTTAAAGATAACACCTAAAAGAAAATAGTACCAAGAAGAAATATTTCAATTAATTGAAGTGTATGAAGAAAATTCAATTCTTTGGAATATCACATCTAATGAACATAGAAATCGGGAAGCAAAGGATGCAATTTTAACAAGTATTGGACAGAAATTTAAACGGGATTTGTACCATTAGTAATAGTAACTTCTGACAACATAATTTGGTGTTCTGACAGTAAAATTAAGTCTTCTGCTAAAAGTATTTGATTTTTAGTAGTAGTGTGTAGTCTTCTGTAAGAAGGATGTGCTTCATTTGCAATATCTAGTTTTTCACTAGCAATACTTAGTCTTTTGCCAGCAATATCTAGTCTTTTGCAGCAATATCTAGTCTTCTACCAACAGTATTTCGTCTTCTGGTAGTAGTGTGCAGTCTTCTGTAAGAAGAATCTGCTTCATTTGCAACATCTAGTCTTTCATTAGTAGTACTTAGTCTTCTGCCAGCAATATCTAGTCTCTTTCAGCAATTGAGGCGTTTAAGTTTATATTTTCTAATAATTTTCCAAAATACTGCCAAGCCACTATTAAGCTATCACGTGTACGACAATAAACTTATAGTTTGCATTTATAAGTGCCATTAAAGCAATCGAGTTCACTTTTTTGTGAATCCAGTATGCCAAATAACTAACAATTTGACAACGAATGTTGATATTTGTTGACACCCAGCTCTAATCTACGCCAAATCCATAATTTCACCCAACAGCTTCTTTTTATTTTTTTCAGTTTGTTTTTTTTTTTGAAATTTTGTACAACACTATTGTTTAAAAATTTTGTAATTTTGTTTACATCCATGTTTACAAATACCAAGCACTGAAAGAAAATAAATTTTACTTTCCATAGCACGGACACATTTCACTAGTGGACACGGTCCTGAGAGAACTGTCTGACAGAAAGCTCTCGGAAATTTTATAAAAGCTCTCGGAGAGCTAAAACAGTCTCAAGTGGACACAGAGTTCAGAGTAGTTCTCTCAAGTGGACACCTAGCTTTATGCAGGATAAAGTTAGTTTTGTACCAACGAATAAAAACTTTGAATAGTTGATTTAAGTTTCTCAGTGTCTTATCCCTGACTTTGTTCACCAATAAAAATGATTTAGTAGATAAAGTTTGTTTATTAAAAATACAAGAAACGTATTAATTAATGAATAATTAAATATAAACAACAATTTCAGGAACTAAACAGTCACAGACTGTGTCATCTTCTTCTACTAAACTTACTGGTTGTAAGGTTAGAACAGTTGGGTATCAATGAATGAAATCTTGGGTAGTATAGAGGAAGATTAGGGATCATAAACTGAGCAGCGGACTTTCCATTGAAACGATGTTTATATGGGATATGGAGCTTTATCTATCATTTTCAAAGAATCATTTTTTAAATGAAATAATCAGTAAACTCAGGTTACTATAGTAACTAATAAATGGCATTTAACGTTTTCCTCGCCTACTATAATTAAAATTTTGAATTTTAATCTTTAATATTTTAGAATTAAAAAATAACGCTTATTTTCCCCAAATACACCATGCGTGCAATACATCATTGGAAAGCTAAAAATATGCTCTTTTCAGTAACACCATAATCTACTATAGTTTGTATTTAAAAAAATACAACTTTGTGTTGTATCTCAAAAATCATCAAATATTTTTAAAATTTTTCAACGGCAGTATATTCTACTTAAAAAAGTGTCTTAAGAACGTATCAACCCCATT